TTCTATACAACGAAAGGAGACTGCGACCACACAAAAGGCCACACCATTTTGGTCTTCATATCTTCGATCACATTCGGCCTGCCTGTGTTTAGCTGCAGAAATGGTATAAGCAGCAAACTGATAAAGTTGAAACAATCTTATCTCATATTTAGTTTTTGCAGCGTGCTCTACTACCTCTAAGTAGTCTCTATGGGCACTTTTGTACTTGGTTACCTTTCGTGAAATGGGGCAAAAAGCCTCTTCGATTGTATGAACACACTTCATAGTATCTTGATCTGGATAATGGGTCAGCGTTTTCTTTAAACGTGGGCACGATTAAAGAAAGTTTCCTTGAGGCCTGTCTTTATTGCCAATTTATGTGCCAGTGCTCTCTGCTTTCTGGGTAGAACTTACGCAAAAAAAGTTAGTCTACGATAACAGATTTCTGTTGCTATACAGCCTCTTAAATATGCTTTACTAATCCTTTGCTATTCTTATTCAAGCCTTGTCTTGATATGACTCAACTGCTGAGCTTGGTGTCTACAGTTTCTGTCTGGGTCAGGCCTGGGCTGGAGTCCAGGCGAGACATCAAACGCATTTAATGAGACATGAGATAGTGTAATTCCATGCTGAAAGCCAGTATTCCCTTCACTTAATCGTGAGCTGTCTAAGCCACTTTGGCCTAGAAACGGACTTTTGAGACGATACCCCCATTCACTGTCGACACCAGCATCAGGCCAACTTTAGACTGTGACGAGTAGAGTCCAGACAAGTGGTTGTTGGCTAACCCTTCTTTGCATCTCCCCTCCTCCCGCCGTTTCCCAGCACAGGCCATGCTCCAACGAGGACATGCAGGGAAGAACGGAACGGCAACTATTTGCATAACAAAGCCGCGGTGACCGACCGAGGATGAAAGGAGACGAAACGTGAAATGACGAAGAAGCATTGTGTACAGCAAACTCGAGTCTACGGGGAGCGCAGTCCACTTGGAAGTGTAGCTGTTGACGATTGCTCCCATCTGCACTGCAGACTAGAATGTAGGCAAACCTTGTGGAAGAAAGCTACAGCTCATTTCACTTTTAATTGCTGCAAACCTAAATGGCATTCTTTACATCTCTTTAAGTGAAATAGACTGATTCAGCTTCTAAGTCCAGATCTACCGATGGACTCAAAACACACCCATTCAGTGCGTGGACGCGTTATCGGCTATTAAAGCTGTTGGGCGGACTTTCATTTCGTATGAAAGTGCATGAAGATGAACGTCGTTATACGACGTTCAGGTCGACGCAGTCCACGAGACCTCCTCCCTCATTTCGTGTGAAGATGAGCTGAGCTTTCATCCATCATATGATGGACATCCTCAGAGCTTTGTCTCATTCCTGTAAAAGTTTCACGTTAAAACTGGGGAGATAGACCTACGAATCTCTTCTTCATGCACTTTTATACTAAAATGAAAGTCCCCCCAACAATGTTATCTCAGGACATTCATCAAAACTCAATTTATCTTCTCTTATTAACAGTAGGCCCCATGTTGTCACATCAACAATCTCGCTGTAAAGTGTGAATTAGCAGAGACTCGGGTTGCCCGAAAAATCACATCTACCATGTGACCGACTGGCACACGCAATTTCGTGGCGGTTTCGTTTCACTTTGCCACATAACATACACACAACCCAGTTTCAAATCCAGCTGAGTGAGCAAATGAGACCTTGGCGAGCTCCTAAAATGGCCAAGGATGACTTAAACCCTTGTGAACGAGGACAGCAAAACATAACAGTAATAATGATACTAACAATATGAACAACAACAACAATGCTAGGTCTCAAAAGAAAATACGAGCAAGTTGCGAAAACGGTTGTTAAACTAGCATGTATCAGGAGATGTTGGATTGTGAAGAAGCCCCTAATGCTTTCATGGCATCTAACCCGTTATTTTGCTCGAAAAGTTGGATGGGACAGATGGGATGAAGTTCCTTTTGCAGTCACTACCGTTGAGTTGAGTATAACTAGTCTGTTATGC